GGGTCGCTGTACTCGTAGCCTTCTTGGCGTACGATCCTGATCAGGTCCTTGAGCTGCTTCTGGTACTGGTTCGAGTTCCTGCCGCGGTTGCGGCCGGTGATGACGGCAGCAGCAAGGTAGCGCAGAATCCAGGGGCAGTTTGTCTGGATGGTGTTGATGTATGCAGGGGAGAAGAACATATCGGTGAGGGTTTCGCGTGAGGTTTCGTGGTTAAAGAGGGGGAAGAGCGACCAGTGAATCAGCCAGGTGCGGTGCTGCAGTTGTGCAAGGGGGTTGTTGAAGAGGCGTGTGTCGATAATCTCCTTGAGCTTGTTGATCTCTTCCATGGCCGAGTCCCAGTTGACGGACAGAATCTCGCAGGCGAGCTTACCCCACGTGGCTTCGCGCTCCTTGTCACCGTCGGTGGTCTGGAAGAGGTGTGTTAGCAAAGTGTGATGCAGAGCGAGTGTCCTTGTAGGCAGAGACATACCAGAACCCTGAATCGGTAGAGTAGTTCGGCAGCATGTGGGTATACACCGCATGAGTACTGGAACTGACCAAATTCAAGCAGTTGGTTAACCATTTCCATGTCGACGCCATGGCTTTCCTTGAGGTAGGCCAAGTTTTGCTGCTTGTCACTCCTCAGGTTAGTAACGACATTCTCGTCATCCAAAAGACCGCTGATCTTGCTAGTGGCCTCCTCGAGCTGGTCGCGCTTCTGTAGGACCTCCTCGCGCTTTTTCTTGTACTCATCAGACATGTCTGAGAGGCCGTGGACGTCCTGGTGCAGTTGGCCGACGAAATCGGTCATGTTTGTGGGCTTGAGAAGTTCGAGGAGCAGCTTCTTCTGCTCGACTGTCTGTTCAGCCTCTTCATCGCTCGAGAAGTTGAGGAGCGGGTAGATGAGGTGGCGGTCGAGGTTGGGCATAAGCTTGGGGAGGAGCGAGTATTGTTCGGCGATGCTGGCGCCAGTTGCCGCTGAATCCGCCATGATGGGCGATTGTCGTCGTCGTGGTCGGCGGCGGAGGAGAGGGAGAGAGTGGAGGGAGGGGCGGTGGTGGGCGCGAAATTCGTCTTGTCGGCGGGCGGCGGTGGTGGGGGTCGGGATAATGAAAAACGACTGTGCGCAAGCGAGGACCCCTGTACGCTAAACTTGTGGTGTTGAGCCGCAATTCACGCCTCAAGCCCGCATCGTCATTCTCCCCGCTGCATAGTCACACGCCTGGCTATTCTTTTCCTGGCAGGCAACTGTTAGATTCTGGTATATTGCAATGCCTCGCATACAATGTCTCATTCCTCTACTAAGGCCGTTGGCCACTCCGCGAACAATCGCATCCCGACAATGCCTACGCTTCTCCACTGCAAGCACATGGCAAGCTGAGCGTTAGTTCTTCACCTCTAGACGAAACTACGCGCATATCCACTGACTATTTACAGAGCCCCCGCCAAATTCTAAGCCCACAACCAGCCCCTCTCTTCCACCAAGCGCCTCATCCCAACACCCATCAACGCCCCAACAAGCTCAGCGCGCCGCCGACCTCGCAGCAGCAGAATCCCTCACCGAAGGCGACAGTGCGCAACCACCAGAGCCCAAGCCCGTTCTACCCTCCAAGCACCCCCGTGCCGACACCAAGCCAAAAGACGCCGCCACCGCGCCCTCACCACAAAAGCCCAAGTCGCCTAAGAAACAAAAGACACCGCCCGTCCAAAAGATCTCTCTGCCACCCCCAAAATACCACGTCTCGCGATCAACAAACAAGAACCTACCCATCTACACCGACTACAAGCGTGGCGGCAATCTGCATCTGACTACCATACGCAAGATCACGGGCGATTTGTCCGCTCTGAGAGACGAGCTGAGGGTCTTCCTCAATAAGAAAAACGAGGACGTCAAGATTAACAGTCTGACAAGCCACGTTATTGTCAAGGGCCATCATACTAATCAGATCGCAGAGTTCCTAAAGGCTCGGGGGTTCTAGATTGGACGATTTGAACCAGGTCTAAAGGGCCGATGAGTTGGATATGGAAAGGGACGACTGAAAAAAAAATGGACAGGAAAGAATATCGAGCATTTTCTTGTGTATTTATGTTATATCATGTGTATAAAACTACTACAACCGCCGGGGTCTGGCATCACGCGTTCTCTGTACTTGGCGGACTGTGAGGGGTGAAGAATATGTTTTGTCAGCATCTTGACCTTGTTTGACAAATGTGTCTTTTTGTTTCAAATTTTACGGAGACATGGAGAATTTGGGCGCTAAGACTTGTACAAGGCGTACACCCAGATCATCATCATGTGGTAAATTAAGCACATGCATATACCAACTCCACTTTTCCAAAGGATTCAAACATTGTATAGTACTACTACCGCAATGCTTAGATCATGATGACCTACGTTTGGCTTGCATACTGACCCTACATTTACGATCTGCCATCGCCCATGCCTATTGGAGCAATGCCCAAGCCACCGGACTCGGTAGCAAACGCGTGGCTATCATCCCCGCCCATGAGCTACTTTGTATCCAATCCGCTTCGCACCTTGTATACATGCTTTACGTACTCTTGCACCATGAGTCATTAGCCTATCAGGTCCAAGGCACACGTAGCGCAATAAATTCTCCGACATCCCCTCTTGGATCGTCGTCCTTGGATGTTTCCCTACCGTGCCGCTTTGGTCTTTCTTTACTGTCGGAGATGGCAAGCTTGGTACGTCGAGACCCTGGCGGCATCGGGGCATAAGTAGCGCTCGTATCCCTGCCGGATACGGTAAGATGTGCTTGTAGGCACAACCCTTGTAGCATTCGACGTCAGTTGCTGTCAAATTCCAATATTGTGCTGCTTATTTGCTGACTTATGTGGGTCAAAATGAACCAGTCCTTGGATATTGAAAGCGTAGACAGTCTTTGAAAATACATACGTACCCATATATAGCAGTAACATCGAGGACGCGTCCCTGCTCGGCTATTGTTTCTCAACGGCGCTTCGGGGACATGGCCTGCTTTGCTCCGACAGGGTAGAAAGACCTTGAGACTTTTGACTACCAAAAGTTTGAAGACCTTTCAGATGTCCCGGAATCTTTAGGTGGGGGCGAATATCACCCTGTCTTCCTATGATCCTGGTCAAGGTCGCACATATACTGCTGAGGAGAGCTCAGTACGAAGCGCGCATAGGGGCGGATCGAGACGAGGACGCGATGGGAGGATCCCTTAGCCATCGAGGGTATGCAAGTCGACGTCGAGTACGGTGATACCAAAGAGCTCTTGCCCACTCAGAATAGACCGGTATGCGTGCCAATAGGTGCGTATGTGGCGCTAGTAACATGAAAAATCTCCCATAGAGAACACTCTGGATCTTTATATCCTCTAACGTCCCATATCGTAAGTTGCAGTTTCTTTCTTGGACAAATATTCCCGCGTCGAGGGAACTCATCTTTTCGATAAGTGCTTCACCGGAATTGGACGCTTTGCTGTCACCCAGCATGCCACTGATTGCTGACCTGGACCAGAATGTGTCAGTTGGAACGGCCAGCCATCCAGAATAATTCCACTATGGGGTCGTCCTCGTTGCGTGCGGAATGCTGCTTCTGAATGCGCTTATCGTAGCTGACAGTAGTAGAAGAAACGTATGTGCTCATACAATGGGCTCAACCAACTTCTCTCGCATCGGCGGCATGACCCTTTTGTCTCGATCTCTAACCAGTCTCGCATCTCGTCAGGTTTAGGTGTGGCGTTCACGGTTCTCGGCGATTCCATACAGAAAGACTGAAATTCTAGGGGCTCAAACGAAGTCGAATACAAGAGGGCATGAATGACTGCATAGATGAGCGCAGTGAAATGATGAGTAGGTATAAGATGCGACACAACAGCAATTCGGTGGCCAAGGCGCCGAGTTACTGGCTCCTACACTCGTTACGAAGTTTGGCACTATCTGAGCCACGTTTAGCGAAACCAAAAAGGCACAAGAGATCGATATCACCCTCACAAAAGCCATGCTATTGTGCTCCATATCCTGTCAATTTGCCCAGTACAGCTGCTGAGAGAGCATGGTGAACGATATTGAAGACTCTTCGTATGATCAGATCATCCGCGCGTTCAAATTGTACAAAAAATATTTCTCGATACGAATCAGTCTATTGGGACTAGGAGCATTCTGGCTACGTCAGCGATTTCGGCCCACAGGGTGCCAACACTGGGACCCTGGAACCTCGAGCGCGGGCTGTTCCTTTAAAGGTCCGAAGTTGGCTTGCTACACGTAATGATGAACCTTCAAAGTTATATAGGCTCGCAGTGGGAATGAGTGGCGGCCGAGCTTGTAGAGCTCTGGCAGCTGTGACTGGCTTCGGGAATTTGGCCCGTAGCAAGCTTCATCCAGCAAGGATTAACAGCACAAGCGCGTGAATATCGGATGTGCCGCAACTTTGAGTAAATCTGAAGTTATAAACAATCATTGCGTGAGCGCGGCTCGATGACTACACACTCTTGAAGGCCCCGACGCAGATAAAGGACGTTGCGATTTGACCGTGATCTGCAGGATTGATGTGCCGTGTATCAAACGAGTGCCTCCGCGGCTTCCTTTGCAACACGTCAGTGGGTAAGGAATCTTATTCGACAAATGACTAATATAATCGAAGCCACACTCGATAGGTAACGATCTCGTCTCGATACTACTATTGGGCTCTAGGATATACCTTTTTGGAACTTACAAGCCACATCTAAGCGCCCTTTTTCGTCGCTCTCAATCGCCCGCAGGCGGCTTCCAATGTCAGTCCCTTGGTGATCTTTCGAGCAAAGTCGGTGAAGTGCATAGGCAACTCCAAAACACACATATTACACAACCACGGTACGGATCCCCGCAATCAGCCACCATCTGGACTTGACAAGATTGTTGTTTTGGAACTGCAACTTGATTTGAGCGGCACCATGGACCCCGCTGACACTGCGACAGGTACACCAAGATTCGATTAATAGCTTCCAGTATCCACGTATGGGGTAAAGTCTTGTTGGAGCTTTTTTATTCGATGCATGCTGACTCGGGGCAGTAAATACCGGTCTAGGAGTGGCTGGTTCGTAATAATCCCAATCTGGTGGTCATAAAGAATGCTGATCTGGACAAAGTCTTACATGTCGAGCACGCCGTGTCAAGTGTAAGTACGCTACACAAATTGGTCATCTGCGCTTACACGAAACTCAGGCGACGAAACTCATCCAACATGCAAGGCCTGTAGCAAGAAAAACCGGCCCTGTCAGTGGGAGGAACCGCACACCAAGTTCAAAGACTATCGGCCTGGTGGGGCCTCGTCAAGCAAGTTTGCTACGGGTGGCACGGACGATGAAAATGAAGCCAGAGACAATATGGACGGCGAGGATGGAGAAGACGAAGATGAAGAGATGGATGGTGCCGACGGTATTGGTGAAAGAAGTCGCAGCCAGTCCATCTCCCAGAGAAACATCCGGAAAAACAGTCAGACCGACGCGGTGCTAGACAGCCCATACTCCAGCGCGCCTTCCGCATCGGCCCAGGGATTTCCGGCTTCGCCATACTATGTCAACGAGGCGGACGATACGAGGGGCCATGTGTCGATGGAGACCTTCCTGGCGCAGGAGAGCCAGATGGACCAACCACCCCTAGGCACCGCAGGCCATGCAGCAAATCCCATTCCTCTAACTCACGAAGAGGCCCTCTTGGTCCATCATTACACCGAACATGTTGCCCGCTGGCTCGACTGTACAGACGCCACCGATCAATTCACTCTCGGAGTACCCGAGAAGATCACCCTTTGTTCCGTCCTTCGTCACGCCGTTATTGCACTCGCTGCTCGTCACTCTCGGAACGACTCTATTGCAGACGCGGCCTATCAGCGCTGCATCTCGCTATTGATCTTGCGGCTGAACGAGGAGGCTGCAAGCCATGACGAGACCCTTCTATGTGCCATCGTCATACTACACTTCTACGAACAACTCAGCGGTAAGCTTGCACGATGCTCTTGATATATTCTCTCACTTTGTTAACTCTTTCGTTTAGTTCCCTCAAGTATAGGGTTGGAAGACGAGCAACATCTGGCAGGCTGTTCGGCCATCATCCGCTCCTCACAAGGACACCATTTCGTAGACCCTTCAGCACCCACTCTCCGCGAAGCTGCCTTCTGGGTATACGTACGACAGTGCATACACAAAGCCACTATAAACCAACAACCGCTCGATATCGATTTCTCATTGCAGTTGCACCCAACACCCAGCTCCATGCGAGATGCACATCCATTGGCACGGTTAAGGTTGGAAACGGCTTGGTCCAACCAAATGGCATGGAACCTTGCGCGCGTCGTCAACTTCTGCTTCGATGGGAACGAGGTATACGGCGATATGCATTCTAGGGTGCAATACTGGGAAGAGCTGTGGGAGCTTGTTCATACATGGATGCGGGACAGGCCAGCCGCCTTCAATCCCCTCTATCAAGGTCCTACTGATGATAGCGGCTCGTTTCCCAATACCTGGTTTACAACTGATTGGCATGGTGAGATTATTCAACCTTCCTCTCTCACCGTTTCGCGTACTAATTTATCAGCGGTTTCATTCTGCTACTACCATTTTGCTTGCATCATGCTACTCCGGTTTAGGCCACATTCAGATTCAGTAGCTCAGGATGGCCATCGAATATCTGAAACAGACGTAAATCTTTCCGTCTTTCATGCACGAGACTGATTGCTAACTTCTACAGCACCGAATCCTATCGCATGCACAAGCCATTTGCGGAGCGGCCAAAAGCTCGAAAGAAGCAGTACCACTGGCAATTACAGTTCGCCACACTGTTTTCATTTGGGGCCCGCTTGTATCAAGTGAGAAACAGAGGGAAGAAATAGTTGAGATCTTGGCCGACTTTGAAAGAGATCACGTCTGGCCAACGACCTGGTTGATCAATGCACTCAGAAACCAGTGGGACATGTCCGGTGCTTCAACCGTCATTTCTCCAATGGAACAATAGAAAAAAGAATTTTTGTCAAAGGCCCCAGTCCATTGTTTCTGATACATGTTGGACAGTTTCCTATGATGGGTGTACCCGCGCTTAACTCACGCCTTGCCATAAGCCATCAAAGAATGGCAGCTCCTACGAATCTTTGAGAAAAAGAACTTGACATATCAAGCGCAGACCCTCGTCGATGGAAAAAGCAAATGCTCAGGTGACGCAGTACAGTGCCCCAAACCCGATGTTCATTATCTCGCCTTATGACTGGTATACCATACCTATCTTCAACAATTCCGATGGCTAGCGCAATCACCCATTCACTCTTGCTACACCCAAGGCAGAACATAGCACCGCAGACCCCCGATGCCATTAGCCGTAACCCGATGAGCATTTCCCCCAAAAGTCTCTCGCAATGCGCCACGTATCGCCGAGTATTCGTCACGCTGAACACCCACCAATCAAATCGCAAATGACCGTCTCACACGAAAGAATCACGCGCAAACATCATAGCTAGTGAAGTGACATTTCGTACGCCACTTGTCAGGTCCTACACAGACCCTGCGTCTTGATGTGACCCAAGCATCGGAATCGTATGACTACTGATCTTGATAGGTATGCGGGATCTCTTGGGTATGGGAAATCGGCACAGGGCTTTCGGTGAAATGGGCCGAAGGCTATCCCGGCTGATAGGAACTTCGATATGAGATCGTGGCGATGGGAGTCAGCATCGGGTGTGGATAAATTATACGTCACATGTCTTGGAAAATCTCATAATTAACATTAATATTATTTCTGTCATAGCTGAATGTATTTAGAAAATGATCATCTGCCGCCCTACGGATTTGCAGCAGATGTATGACGATTCTTGCCTTCTACTATCTCGCGCATGATACGTGCTTTTTGCTGCTCCTCCGCATCACTGCTGACATCGTGGAACACTTGGTCCATTTCCTCTAGCGTCTTACCAGACGTCTCCGGGATACCGAAAAATGTGAATACGAATGCGAGGAGACAGAAGACAGCGAAGAAAGTGTAGGCGCCGTAGCCGGTGTTCTGGACGAGGGGTGGAGTAATGAGACCCTGAAACGCGCGTTAGTGTCTTGTTCCTTGTATCGCTGAGCAAGTTGCTACTTACAATCACAAAGTTGTTAAACCAGTTGGAGCATGTTGACAAGGCAACACCCTTTGCGCGGAGAGATGAAGGGAAGATTTCAGACGGCATAGCCCATGGAACAGGACCCCAGGTGGCACCAAAACTGAACATGTAGAAGAAGAGGAAGGCGACGGCTACCCAGCCTTCAGTCGAGTAATCAGCCCATCTGCCACCAAACTTTCCCACCAGGACGGCAATGATGAGATGGCAGATGAACATGAGCGCGGCACCACTCAGGAGTAGAGATCGGCGTCCGAAGCGATCCATGGTCCATAGACTTGTCGCGACACCCACAAGTTGTGTGCAGTTGATGATACCGGAGAGAAGAAGCTGCATCTCGTAATCTTGGCCAAGAGTCTTGAAAAGAGAGGGCGAATAGTAGATGAGCGCGTTGATACCTGGTATTCCGTCAGTTACGTTCTTTATGGAGGGTGGTTGCTGTACATACCGACGAATTGCTGGAAAAACATGATGCCAACACCGACAACGGTTCGCCTCCAGCACCTGTGTCTGAAGCAGTCCAGCCACGATTGAATCTCGAGTTTGAATTCATCCATACGTGTATTTCCCTGCAAGTCGGGGTGTCTTTCCAGATTCACCTCGCGGTTGAAAGCAACCTCGGCACGGATCTCACACCATTCTTGAAATACACGAGTGTCGGTGGTAGGGAGTTTGCGGAGCTTTCCAAGGACTTGGAGGGCTTCGTCATCGCGGCCTTTGCTGGCTAGCCAGCGAGGAGAGAAGGGAAGGAAAACAATTCCAGCGCCCAAGATCAGACCCGGAATCATTTGGATAAGGAAAGGAAGGCGCCATGCCCATTCTCCGGCCATGTAACGGGTACCATACGTTGTCCAAAAGGCGACTACGATTCCAAGAACGATACTAAACTCCTGCAAGACGAGAAGGGCACCTCGGATCTCTGGAGGGGCAATTTCCGAAATGTAGAGGGGAGCGATTGTTGCAAGTCTATATCCGGTCAGATCTCGCCATAGGGACAACAGCATATCGGTATGGAGTTTCAACTTACGCTCCAATGCCTATTCCTCCAACCAATCGTCCAACCGTCAACATAGCATAACCTATAGCTGCAGTCTGCAAGATACTTCCAATCGTAAAGACAATGATGGCGACGACAACAGAGTATTTCCTGGATAGCTTATCTGCAATCCATCCGGCGAACAGCGCACCGATAAGGGCACCAAGTTCCAGCATAGCAGTCATCAATCCCTTCCAGAATCCTGCGCCTGAAGCATCATCCGACACGCGAGGAAATCGGCCGAGAAATTGGTCCATGACAAGCGTCACGGAGATGACACCCTGGTCGTATCCAAAGAGAAGACCTCCGATGGTGGCGAATGCTGCGCACATGGCGACATATGGATTGGCAAAGAGACCACTGAATCCTGAGCGTAGTCAGCTACTATCACGGAAATTCCTTGCGGGTGGTTTGGTGGAGATGCCATACCAGCCGGTCCATACGGTTCTCTAGCTATCATTCCATCTCTACTGGCACAAGAGACCATGGTCTCCTGTTGCTCTTGTGGGACACTTTTGACCGAATCGTCTCTGCCCATGTTGGTTTTCAATGGAGGTTCTTGCTGTTCATGTGGATCCCGTCCGATATAATTGAACAAAAATCTCGAGTGAGAAGAGTAGGGGAAGGAGAGAATGTCGGTCAGCCTTTATGTACACACTGAACAATTCGCTTGATCTCGCGTTAGATCTTTCAAGGTGGATCCACAACACCTGTCTGTCAACGCTAGTGACAGGCCTATTGCTGTTCTTGCAACAGGCATCCGATAACGTTCTGATTAGCAGCGGTGTCGAGGTCAAAATGGCAACTAGAAAGTTCGGTGTTCACGTGCGGTTTAAGTGGTCAGAGACAGCATTCTTTGGTCCCATTACCTATTCTGATCGTTGATTTCCATGTGTGCGTACGCAGGGGTCACTTTGTTGACGCAAACATCGGGCGTGCGTTCAGAGGCTCGCTCGAAGTTTCTGTGGACCCCCAGTCCGAGACTGGCCGATCTGTTTTTGCTATGGATCGTGAGAATCGATACCAAAGATACGATGGATATCCTGATATTCTTGACGCGTGTGGAACCCGCGTGATATTTACCGCTAATTTCTGCTATTGGTAGACACCGCTCGTTTCTGTAGCGCCGCCTGGTGCTTCTATCACCTTGGTGTGCTTGTTTCCACGTCTACAGATGCCCCTGAGACCAGTAGAAGTACCCAGAAACCCCAGATGACGAGCATAACGCCTCAGCCGTTACCCCACAACCCCAGAATAAGGTTCGCCTCGTTCCGTGCTGTGCGTGTGTCCAGTAGGATAGGATTCTTTTCTAACTTATTCGTCTTGGGGGAAATGTTGCCGGCTAGAGTGGAGGTCACGGCGAAAATTGCTCACTGGGGTCCGGATGGGTGCATTCCAGCGCTGCGCTAAGCCATATACAGTGGTGGTGGCAAGTCTGCCCGACAAGTGGGCTGATCTGTGGGACAATATTATCGCGAAGTAACTTCAACCGCTGTCATGTACAGAGTAAGCAAAGCTGATTCCAGTATGCGCATGTCAACTGTAGTAGAATAGTGACGAAGAATTCACCCCGTACATTCAAAAATGACCTATCCCCAACTCCAACCTTTAACCTACCAAGCGCTATTTAGTTTGGAGACTTCATAATCTATGTGTGTGCACCAGCATACATCACACCACTTTTTTTCAAAGTAAATCACACATTGCCAAGGACGCCACAAAGTGGAACGACCATGGGTTTTCTCCACATCTATGGTATTTTGCAAAGCCATGTGACTCCAGTTCTGGTTTTCTACCGGTCTGTCTGTGACTATTACTATGCTAGGCTACGTGGCCTGCATGGAGATCGCGATCCAGGAACAGTTGGCTTCGCGATGCAAAGAAGGTATTGGGAACATGTGTACCTATATTGGACCACTTATTGGGTCCCAAACATGGTTAGCCGCTGGAAGCGAAGTCGTAGTGTGAAAAGGGCTATATGTACTAAAGAAAGTGTATCAGTCAAACGCACATCTTCTACAGTTTTTGAGCCCACTTTCCAAGGCACACCTCAGAAAACTCAAATCAATTTGGCTAGTAACTCAATTATGTAACTTCTAGTGTGCCAGCTCACTCATAACATCCAACTTAAGTTGTAATAGATAATGGACACTTATAGTTTAAATCTATTCAATATCTTTAAATTGTATTCTGTATAATGATACCGTGGTTATATCACCCGATCAGCTGCCCGGGGAAGCTGGAGAACCGGTTTCTTTGGGTTTAGAATTACCAGTGTTGGTTCAGCTCTGCAGTCATTGTTTGCCAGACCCCTAATCGACGTGGTCAGCATCCATAACAGTATTTACAGTCGGCGAATATAGTCTTTACACATTCTCAGGAAAGCCAACATAAAATTACTTCCGAAGAGGCTAATGCCTTATCATTATTTTTAGAGTAAACCTACTTGCTGCGCAACTGTTGGCTATTTCCCATTAATCGGGAGGCAAAAAATAATTCAAGTACCAGCCACTAGTTGTCCGTGAGTACAACCAAGAAATCGACACACGGGCAAAAAAAAAGGCAAAAAGAAAGACGCCCCCACTGGGGGCATTGTACGGTGGTTATGCGACATTGACAAGATTCGAACTTGCGAGGCCGAAGCCATTAGATGACATGAATGAGTAATTCAAGTCTAACCCATTAACCACTCTGGCACAATGTCAGATGATTCGATGGAAGTCTGAGAAATTTAATCGTTTATAGATGCAATGATGATCTAGGAGTAATCGAGCAAGCGTGGGACTTGATAGCGGGGCACACTCAACCCCACTTCGCAGCGCGCCTAACAGAAGCTTTCGACCCACAAATGTTGTATTGATTGATTAGAGACTAGACTTTCCACTCAACGACCAGGTCTTGTCACCAGTAACTTTTCCTTCCTGCTTCAGCTTGTTCAAGATCTGCAGGATGCCCCTCTCAGCCGGCTCCCAGAGGCTTTCTGGATAGTTCTTGTATATCACCTTGACAATGTCCATCGACGACAACCCCAACCCACTCTCATCCGCAGCCAGCACATCCAAGACCTGCTGCTCACGCTGCTTACGATGGCTAATGTACTCCTTGATCTTTGCTGGACCATCGTCGATAACAGGGCCGTGACCGGGGTATGCACGACCGCCAAACTGCTTTGACATGGCATCGAGACTGTTCATGTATGTGGCTAGATCCTCGAATACCGCTGTGCCCTGTCCCAGCACATTGTCGGCCGTGAACATGGCATTTTCTTCCTCCAACACAAAGGCCATATGGTCGGTGGTGTGTCCAGGACAGAAGAACGCACGCAATGTCGCGCCCTCGGTCTCAAACTTCTGCCCATCGGCTATGGGGAGCCAGTCGCTGTGTGGATCTTTTTTGTAGACCTTGGTGTTAGGAGCGTGCTCGAGGAGATCAGGGACTCCTTGGATATGGTCAAGATGCCAGTGTGTCAAGAGTACCTTTTCGATTGCAATGTTCTCCTTTGAGAGCAGCGACTTGACGGAGGCTATCCACTGGGGTCTGCCTTCGCCCGTGTCGATGAGGAGTCGGGATGCACCTCGACCGACGACATAAGTATTCGTACCTATACTAGTCAATATGAATCTCGTATTGAAATGCGATGCGCGAACCTTGCAAAGTGAACTTGGAGTTTGTCAGTGTGTGTTGTTGCCTTGCGATGCGACACTGCTTACCTTGCCCGGGTTACCACCAAGCACTCTAATAACCCGATCGCTCAACTTCTCGATCTCAGGCAGAGGTACTAGTGCGTCGACCATCTTTGAATATAGTCTAGGTGAACTGAAATGTGTGAGTCGCTGGCGTAACATGATCACTCCATACCTCAGGTGTCGGGTCAAGCACACTTACCGAGGCTCGCTTATCGGGGGTGGGGTGAGTTCAGGTGTTTGCGACTATCCAGATCCACATGCAATTATTTGCCGCTGCAGTTTTGACAACAAGGGATTAGTATGGTACCGATGATTGAAGACGACGACGATATTCCGTGAGTATTCTTGTCGCAGATGATGATGTATATACTAATCAAACAAGACAGCTTTCGGGCGACGCCCTAGCAGCGCTTCAACAATTTTACGGCGAGCGGGATGAACGCGCAAAGCAGTTTGAAGATCTGAAGGCCAAGGCTGAAGATGACTTTGACGGGAAGCTATCTATGGATGTGTTCACAGAAGATTGGAACGCAAGTCAGTTCTGGTACAGCGACGAGACTGCCACAGTCCTTGCGAAGCAACTTCTGGATGGCGCTACCGATGAGACGAGAATTGCAGTTGTGTCAGCGCCCAGCGCTTTCATACAGTTGAAGAACCTGATCGTGAGTTTCGTTTGATAAACAAACTAAAAAAACTGAGCTGTGTTGACGATTGCACAGAACTCAGGTGAAGTCCAATGTCGGCCACAGATCAAGCTTCTCGAATTCGACGAACGCTTCGCGGTCTTTAAAGAGTTTGTCCGATACGACTTTGAGAAAGCGATTCAGCTACCTCCTGAACTCAAAGGCTCTTTTGGTGCTATCGTTTGCGACCCGCCATTCCTCAGTCAAGACTGCCAAACTAAAGGTAAACCTTTACATTTCTTAAAAAAAAAGTCAATGCACAACCCTGTTAACATGATATAGCTGCTCTCACTGTACGATGGCTGGCCAAGTCATGGACACAAGACTCGCTTCGTCTCATTGTCTGCACTGGAGAGCGCATGGAGAGTTTGGTCACTGAGAAGCTTTACGGAAAAGTGGGATTGAAGACCACGGACTATGAAATTGTACACGCAAAAGGTTTGAGCAACGAGTTCAGGTGCTATTCCAACTTTGAGTGCGAAACATGGAAATGGAAGTCATCATGACATGCATTGTTGCCATAGTTCCAAACCTTAGCTAGAATATCAGACGACTATACCGACACACACAATGTACTATTACCAAAGTAATAAGCTTTTGTCAAAACCTGGCGATGAATTGCGCAAGCAAGACGAACTCGGCTGACCAAAGAGCTACCCCACCACATGCCCCTCGGTCAACAGTCAACCCCACTTCGCCCTGGAGCTCAGCCCTGCGTCGTCATCCAGAACTCCCCAGACCAACCCACGCACTAACCAACCAACATCGTAATTCAAGAGTACCACAATGTCTTCTGCTGCATGCATCTTTTGCAAGATCATCAAGGGTAGTTCTCACTTCTCACTAGTGTATTATGATGGACTAACAAGCTCCTATAGGCGAGATCCCTTCGATGAAGATCTTCGAGAGCGACAAGACACTTGCATTCCTCGACATTGGCCCATTGAGCAGGGGACACAGTGTACGTCTCTTTCTGAAATTTATTTCCTATTCTCCTAAGAATTATTAAACATAACTAACGCATATCCTCGTCTTAGCTCATCATCCCCAAGCACCACGGCGCAAAGCTCCATGACATACCCGACGACCAGCTATCTGAAGTCCTCGCCGTCACCAAGCGCATTGCGATTGCACAAGATCTCAAGGACTACAACATTCTACAGAACAATGGCCGCATTGCGCATCAGGAGGTAGACCATGTGCATTTCCATTTGATTCCCAAGCCGAATGTGGAGGAGGGATTGACTGTTGGGTGGCCGACGAAGCCAGCGGATAAGACTGAGTTGGCCAAGTTGCTAGATGAGATCAAGAGCAAGATGTAGAGAAGACTCATTGTAATGACGAGAATAATTCAATAGAAATGGAAAGCGTGACCAACTGAACAAGTATCTTTTGGAAAATATGTCTAAGTTTACTCGCCCTTGAAGACGGGTTTCCGCTTCTCCCTAAAGGCAAGAAGAGCCTCGTCGCGATCCTTAGTCCTGACCACACGGTCATACGCAGCATTCTCGGCCTTCTCGCCCAACGCACAGCCCTCGACCGCTGCCAGCGCAGCCCTGATGGCAATTGGTCCGCCCTCGCAAATGTTCATTGCCAAGTTGATTGCCTCCTCAAGAACCTTCTTCCTTGCAGCTCCTTCCTCCTTCGCAACCTCTGGCGTAACCTCTACTAACCGGTCGCATAACCCCAGGAAGTAAGCTTCAGGTGCTGCAACTCGTCTTCCAGTCAAGATCATGTCGCGGGCGCGCGAGAGCCCAATGACTGCAGGGAGTCGGTAAGTTCCTCCTGCACCCGGTAAGATTGCAAGACGGGTTTCCGGGAGAGCGACTGTAGTCGTAGAACCAAAGACGCGCATATGTGTCGTAAGTGCCAACTCAAGGCCACCACCAAACGCCGGTGCTGCAAGAGCGGAAATGGTGGGAATAGGCAATTGCGAAATCGATGTAAACGTTCCTCGTAGCGACGCGAGGAAGTTTGCTGTTCTGTAGCCACTCGTTAGCAACTACTCGCACACTTCAAGGCAAGATGGAACATACTCTTCCTGAGTAAACGTAGCTCGTTCTTTCAAATCTGCGCCTGCGCAGAAACTCGAGTCGACATCGCTGGCCAGGATCAACGCCCGCGTTGGCCCATTGTCTCCCTCGTCGTGGATGCTATTGACCTGGTGGCTCAGTTCCGCGAGCAATTGCCTGGAAATCGCATTGCGCGCTGCGGGTCGATTCAAGGAGAGAACTCGTATGCTTCCGCAATGGGGCGCGGGGATGTTTTTGACATTGATGGCTGGGGTTTGTGCAGTTGCGAACGTGCGGGTTTGGATGGCACGGTATATGATGCGGGGCGCGGGGCGAAGGAATGGCATTGTGAGCGGTAGATAAAAAGGTATGTGGGCTAGTTTTGGATGTTGTAATGGGTCACATTAAAGCTATAGCGACCTAGTCCAAAGTTACGGTTACGGCATCAGCTGGGTTGCGGTTTGGTGACTTCATTGCCATGGACCGCGGTTAGCCGAGGCGGTTTCTTGCTGTGGGTAACGGCAGGGATGGTTGCTTCTTCACTATAGCAACACACTTTAGGCAACCAATTAGCAAATTCTCATAAAATGCTGTCCTTCAGCTCAGTGGGTTTTCATTCTAGCCAATTATTTAACTCCATTTCTAAGCTACAGGGAGTGCACAAAAAGGTCACCTTTGCTACTACTAGTCCTGTGAGCTACTAGAAGCCACTCTAATGGACATAGTACTGCCGAAGAGAGCTCAATTCAGACAATGGCGTACTATTGACGCGCTGCCTTCGGAGCTAATGAAACAAGTAGTTTCGTATCTCGCTCCAACATGCGTTGAAGAGACAAAGCCAGGATGTAAACTAGACCTCCAAAATGCCAACCTGGCGCATTCATGCCTAAGAGAATGGGCGACAGAATACCTGTTCAGGGATATGATGTTGACACACGTCTTGCCAGGAGCATCGTGTAGTCTAGAGCTCTTTGCAATCACTAAGCAAAATGCCCACCTACTCAAACATGTAACGCATATTGTTGTCCAGGTACAAGCAACCTGCCTGGATCAAAGAAAAGTATACTGACTAACATAGGTTCCGCCAGCTATCCGGAGAGAAGATTTCGAAACTGCTATGTGCTATGCTCCTGAAAGAGCCACTCGACAACGTCTATATCCACAGTGTGATGATTCACCTACTACCGAGTTGACAGACGAGCAAAAGAAGTACTACCTAAGATACCATGAAGCAATGGTAGAACCATTCATCCAAAGCTGGCGCTGGCACCCACTCGTACATTGCGCTGAAAGCAGTTTCAGCCGAATATTCAGTTACTTCAAAAACCTCATATCCATCTCCGTCGCCTGCTGCGAGCGAGAAGACCACCCCCAGCCAACCTGCACCCACACCTTCATCCAGCAAACCGGCAAATCCGTCACTGAGCAAGAAACCCCCCGCTTCGTAGAAGACCGAACCATAAATCTCGCCTGGGCCAGTGCCATCATCGCTAGAAAAGCTCCAGCCCACGTCCAAGACCTTCACCTCTCCCTCGCAAACATAGACAACTACTACGCAGCCGGCACCGTCAACTCAGTCCTCAGACGCGGCTACATGTACCCCGAAGACGAATTCCCCAACCTAGCCACCCTCACGCGCCTCACCCTCAGCGTCCGCGGTACCCCCGGTACCCACGGCCACCCCTACCCCACGGACGCCTCCGCCACCTTCCACGCAGTCTGGTTCTGGAAACACATGGTAAATCACATGGTACAGCTCCAGTATCTCGAGTTGGTCGACGACTTTGACACATCGTCCACCATAAACTTCTCAGATCTAGACTATACAAACCACACCGCGTCGATTCTTCCCTTGATCCTCCCGCATCTCGAGCTCAACGAGCTCCAAGTGCTAAAGCTGTGCGGGTTTGCGCTGCAGAAACATGATTTGGCAAATGCACTTATGGGGCCATGGCCGAGTCTGGAGCGAGTGGTGCTGAGTGGGATTCGGCTTATGGATGGGTCGGAGGAAGAGTATGCGGACGCGGAGCATATGGAGGGGTTTACGTGGTTGGAGGTTTGTCACGGGTTTGTGGAGAAGCGGCCAGGTGTGGTGCTGGAGCTTGAGAGGCCGTATTCGACATGTTTTGCACTTGATGCGGTGGCTGTGGAGGAGGGGTTTGTTGCAGAGTTGAGGGACACAGATGGTGTGGTTGTTACCCTTTGAAATAGGAGGTTGTAAACGCAAATTGATTTGAATGGGAATGGCTAAGTCCGTTCTCCTTTGCTGGCATCATGATGTTTTAATTTTTACACTACTCATCTCGTACTACCCAAGTGAATAGACCAAAACTCTCTGTACATCATCTTCCTTTTTTCTTCAAATAATACGTGAAATGTAAATTTTGATGTCCCTTGTGTGCAATGGCGATATGCGGACTTGGAAACAATGCTTACAAGAAGAAAAGCACCTTCCAAACCTAAGTAAATTTCCGGTTGCAAAAGAGGAAGTAAAAAGGTGATAGGTGCAAAACTTTATGTATCTGATATTATAACAATATTTATTCGCGTACCACCTCATTCTTTCATTCTTGCTTACACATACACACTATTGGGTATATCAGACAACACATCCTAAACTCAGGTACATAATCTGCATAAAACTACTGCCTCGTATATACACCCACTTCTTCCTTCCCTTCCCTCATCCAACGCATTTCACACTCCTATTACTCCGTACCAACAACCTCCCTTTCCCTGCAAACAACACATCCCCTACCTACCGCCTTCTTGATAACATGTGCATGCGCCACCTTCGCACCCACACTGCGTGTCCATCTGCCGCCACTTTCTTGGGCATCATTTGCAAGCTGCTGCTGTAGTCCCGCTGCAACGCTTTCGCTTGCGTTTGTCTTTGGTAGAAGACATGCGAGGTGGAAGACGTGACCGCATGCGAAGCCGACAAGTGTGTCGCGAGAGGGTGGCAATGGAGTAGTTCCGTCGCTGATGGCGGATTCTTCTTCGGCTGTGGGGAGAGTGAAGGGACGATGGCAGCCAACACAGTGTCCGGGCGGAGCGTCGCCTTCTGGTGGGCCGGGTGGAGTAGGATCAATGTTCAGTGCATTAGCTGTGTTCACGGCCTTCGTTGATTTGTCTGCTTTGGCCGTGAGCTTTGCGGCAGTCACGGGATCCATGCCTTTGGTCTCGATATCGATTTGCCCCTTAGCGTGGTGGTGCCTTGCCTGTTTCCCGGAGAGACCACCGTCACAGGGTACAACTTCGAATTTGACACCGCGTTTCTGGCCAGAGCGTAATGTATCCATGCCGGCTGCTACTTCGCCACGTAGTACTCGTGCAACGCCTTCGGAGATGGAGTATTGGATTTCGTATTCGCGGACCATACGACCAATACCATCTCGTAGACCTTCGATCTCAAGACCTTCAGGGATGCGGCGTACAAGCTTGATAGGATCGATTGCTGTGCCGACTTCTTCGAGAAGACCGCGGATGAAATGCGGCTTATCCATAGAGTATTCCAGTAGATCGTTCCAAAGGTCGGGGTCGTCCTGTTCCTTGGCGAAGGAAATGGCGAAGCTAACATCAGAGAGCTTCTCAATGATGAGGTACAGAGCACGCTTCGTTTGACCCGTCTTCGAGAGGATATGTCTAGTTGGGGTCAGCAGCCGATTGTGGTAGCAAAAATGACGAATACTCACACAAGTTCTGGAATATACTCTCTCCTCTCGCATTCCGCAGTAGCCTTGCTCAGATCGTAACTCTGGGATTTGCGCAAGTACTCCATCAGCAGCGGTCGATCATACTCTGCAAATAGCTCGACCATAAGGTCCGCAAACTCCTCAGCAACAAGCTTGCCATCGGCTATCAAACGATCTTCAGCTACTCGTTCTTTGGCTGTCTTGGCAGTGCGCTCATGCATCTCCGGCTTCCAAAGCTTTCGCAGATAGAAATGTAAAAAGGGTCTGAATGACGGTCCCTTGGCTTGGAGTTGACTCTCAACATCACTTGCTGGAATGGTACCTCGGCAACCTTCCTCGACAAGGACATTGATAGCTTCCGCCGATGCCTCTTCCAACTCCTCCAGCTTTGTTGACGCTGACTTCATCAGCTCTTTGGAGACACCCATCATAATGAATCCAGGGATATCGTCAAGAACAGCTTCTACGAGATGGAAGTCGCGAATCAGAGTCATGGCCGCTTCTGAATTCTGCAGGCGGATATAGCAGCGCAGTGCCTCCCTTTGCCGACCACTTGCCAGGAACAACTTTGCCAAACCATCTTGCAATATTCGCCAGTCTCTTCCTTGAACGTCTCCTTCGATGGACTCCTCGGTAACATCGCCAGCAGAGAGTTTGCTCTTGATAGCCTCGATAACACTATTAATGTCAAAGAGATCAGGATCCCAATCTTCGAGCAGATGCTTGAAGCGTATGCGGTCGTGAATGATGTAGTGTCCAAGAATTACTTCATATACCATGGAAGGTAGGGGCGGCTGTATCGGTTTCTTAGGAACATATGGTGAGATCTCGTTGAAATGGTTCGTCTGGGCAAATTTCCACACCCAGTGTTCCCATCGCGCAGAAGTCCCGAGCACACGTCCTGCCACCTTACCTGCTTGTTTCCAGTCGCCCGCACTGACGAGCTGTTGTACCCATAAGTCTCCAATCCTACGCTTCTCTTTCTCTACCGCCGAGTTCTGATTGGCCCTGGTGGCAGACAATGTTGTTTGAGAATCGTCATCGGCGAAGAACTCGTGTAAACTTCCTTGTTTGTTTACCGGCGTACCAGTATCAGAGGCGTCTGATGGTATCTGTATGACTGACGAGATAATCTCAGGGTGATCCTCTAACAGCTCCCATGCATCTTTGTAGTTTTCATGTTCTAACTCCCATTGGAAATGATCCGAAAGCTCTCGCTTGATAGCCAATACACAGTCATATGGACTTTGTATGAAAACCTTTAGACCTGGGTTGGCAGCATTTGGATGTACCGGTTGTTGGCGCTTGGTAGGTGTTGAACCAGAAATGTTTCCAGCACTGGCCGAAGACATGGATGGCGCTCTTGACGGTGGCTTGTCGGAGCCGATTTGAAGGTTCATGACACTGGCTCCAGAACTAAATATACGTGCTGCGCTCGCGCCAACATCCCATATCCCTCCGCCGATAGCTTCCAATGCACTTCTTTGCGCAGGAGTCATCGTCTTCGGATGTGGGACGTATAGGGTGCCCAAGTGGTAATCAGCAGCTGAAAGGCTTTCATATCTACTGACGGTCAAAGAGTCGACTTCAACCTCGTCGGAGGTCGCAGCATCTATAAGTTTGAGTTCTGGAGAGAGACCATTTGTGCGACGCTGTCTTCCTCCACGGGGAGTAGTATCCGGCCCCGAAACGGGATTGTCATCATCGTCGCGTGTCCGGTATGCAAGAACAAGAAGTAAAGAAGGGGTATAAAGCGAAATGCCAGAAACAATACAGTCGTCGAAATGAATACTAAAAGGGCGTTAGGAATGTATGAATGTCAATGTGTAAGGGTAGCATACCAGCGGATGACATCGGCGGTTCCAACCGATCTCTCACCCACATTGCGGCCAACACCAGCCCCTCCGGGGCGCACGTGAACGATCCAGGCGGTATCTCCCCATCCTATGATGAGCTTCTCCATGTTCTTCTTGTTCCCTTCCTTGGCAGGCTGAGAAGATCGGTTGTGCGGCAGTGTAGCGTCGGCCTTATCCACAAGGTGGTGTCCATTCATACTCATGATAGCATCGTCATCAGACTCGAGCGACTGATCGTCAATCCATTCTATTCGCGGTTTCCATACGCTGGCCATATCTTGCCATACGCGGCGGTTTGGTTTTTCGATGATGCCGATTCTCTTCCAGGCATCGTCTGAATCTGCGCTGTCCAGGTGCAGGTCCGTTCGCATGAGGCGCACGCCATGTTCGTTTGCCCAGGCTACAAACTTACCAGACAGAGACCACTTAATGGCAGTGATGGTGCCTTCGCCCGAATGCAAAATAGTGTCCCTACCTCCATGCCCACCGAGTCCTATTGCGCCGAGCCACCCATGTGCAGCCTGCGATGCCGCGCTGGTGTTGGCGTTGGATCGCACGCCTATGGGTCCACCAACGGTGTGAATCAACTCACCAGCCAGTCCACCAGACAAGTACGAACGGTCGTTTTTGTAGTCAGGCGAGAGGGCTACGGCTTGCACTGGGCGGCCGAAATTGCGCAGCGTAACATCCTTTGGATCAACAAGCGAAGACACACAGACATGTCCGTCTATGGATGAGGAAGCAATGTATATCTGGTTCGAAGGTGTAGGCGGGACTTGGGCTTGGCGCGGTGCGCGAGGAGAAGAAGTATTGCCGGCTGGCGAGTCGGTTCGTCGAGAGGAAGCATTTGCCTGGTCGGCAGACCTCAAGTCCGAAGCGGAGGGCACAAAGGGCTGGGAAGCAAGCAGCGGTGATACAGAGAGAGCGGTGACCGAGGCGGCAGGGTGGGCATTGTAGGTGCGCAGGATGTTGAAGGCAGGTAAGTTCAACGCGTGCTATTTGGGTCAGCATGGCGGCGCAACAAGGGCCGGACCAGGACAGAGACTTACGATGTTTCCATTGTGGGTGCCTATAATCTACATGGACATACAGTGTTAGCACATGGCCCGCAAGATGCAATGCAATCCAGACATGCTCTACACATGTACCAGAGGGAAAGCTGGGAGCTATGACCGTACCATCTTGTCTCCAGCGACCATGAAGGTGGCCGTCGCGTCACCATTGCGGTATATGGGACCCAAGTCTCTGGTGAGGCGACTGTACTTGAGCTTGGGTTCCTCGTCAACATCGTCGTCGGCAGTGTCATCGTCGTCTTCTTCGTCGTCCGAGTCCGGCTCGATAGTCTGCTGGGCCTTTTGCAGGCGGGCGTCGTCGCGCGCCTTGGGCAGCGGAGCGTCGTCGATATTTTCCGCCGCCATGCTGGCGACATGAGCTGCGACAGGCGGACAAGAGGCGTAGAAGACGCTCCGAGCGCGCCGAGTGTGGAGAGATGCGAGGTTGACAATGGCCCTGTCGATCTAAGCCTATGATGCTGGCCAAGCCGATTCCCGCGGACTTGCAAGGGTCTATGCTTCTCCTCCGCACTGCTCCACCCACCTTTCTGCTGGGCACATTAATGTCAATGTGGGATGCTTCTTTGAGTTTGGGCGCTGACC